CTTTTATTGTAAAAAAAAAAATTTTTTTTTTTTTTTTTGGTCAGAGGCTGTGTGCACTTATGGGAGGAGAGATGTCAGGGATGGGAAAGCATTCCCACGCAGGAAGATGGCCATGGCACAATCCCTTCGTCACCTTCTTTCTCCATCAGGTTGGGATTCTAGACATGCACACACATGTGCCTGGTATGTTTTTCAAGTCACCAGGGCCAGGACACAAACTGCATGGTCAGCCCTGTGAGATCCAGCTCCCTAGATCACAGGACTGACCCTCTTTTTAAAAAATAATTTATTAACTGATAAATTAACTGCTTACCAGAGAAAGGGGAAGGGAGAAAGCATCCCAATAGGGCGTGGTCCCACCACAATCCCTTCTCCTCCACTATGCTAACCTGGCAGGACTTTAGGTACATATACACGGACTTGGCATGTTTCTCAAGCCACCGGGACCAGGACTCAAACAGCGTAGTCAGTTGTGGGGGATTGGCTCCCTTAACCACTAGGCCATGGAGCCGCCCCTAGGTTATAAACATTCTTGTTATCACTCCTTGTGACAAGGGCCAGTCCAAGGCACAATGGTTAAGGTGACTGGATCCCACATGGCCAACCTTGCAATCTGAGTCCTGGACCTGGTGGCTTGAGAAACATGCTAGGCGTGTGTGTGTGTGTGTGTGTGTGTGTGTGTGTGCACGTGTGCCCAAAATCCCAAATCCCAAAGGGAGGGAGAAGAGGAGAAGAAAGGATTGTGGTGTGACCATGCCCCCTGGGGGGTTGCTCACTTTCTCATTTTCTCTTTCTCTGCCACCTCTCCAGTGAATGTATGCACCCTCTGGCAACACTACAAAAACAAACAAACAAGGGAACCAGCAGTTAGCGTAATGGCTATGTCGCTGGACTCCCACATAGTCGACCGCGGTTCGCGTCCCGGACCCGGTGGCTTAAAACTCACGCTGGGCGCGTGTGCGTGCGTGCCCAAGATCCCGAGAGGAGAATGGAGGAGAAGGGATTGCGGCGTGACCATCCCCCCTGGGGGGTGATTTCTCGCTTTCTGTCTCTAATGTCTCTCTCTGTCTGTCTGGCGAGCGCACGCGCCCTATAGTGAAAATCTCTCAAACAAACAAACAAACAAAAAAGATAAAGCCGTGGCAATCAGTGGTTTTTTATTTTTAAAAATGTTTTTAAAAATTATCTGTTTAATTTTATTCATTATTATCATTTTTTAATTGTCTCAGAGAGAGAGAGAGAAAGAGAGAAAATGAGAAAACACGCTTGCCAAGTCTGGGACTCGAATCACGGTGGTCCATGTGGGGGTCCAGTGTCTTAACTACCGCACCACCTGCTGGCTCCATGATCAGTGTTTATTCACCCAGAAAGATGATTCTGCTTCTTTTCTTTTCTGCGTAGAGGCTGTAACAGGTGTAGCCAGCATTTGGTTGGGCACACATCCACCTCGTAGGGCTTGGCAGATTATAAGGATGGGAGACAAAAGAGCTTTCAACTTCCTGGGCCCTTGACTGTCCTGTGGATCCACAGTTTAAAATATTGAGACATAAGGTACTAAAGATGTGGTAAAGACTTGATTCTTATTTTTACTCACAAAATCTCAAGTTGAGAGAATAATTAAGTGTGGGTTTCTCATTACATTCCTGCAGAAACCCTAAGACAACAACCGAAAGATGCCCGCAGTGACCATTGGGGCCTCAGGACAGCTGGTCCTCTCCGTGGACTTGGTACAGCCCCAACAGCTCCTGCAAAAGCCTCTCCTCTTCCCGGGACCCACCAGACAGCTCCTCCAGGCCCTGTTCCCCCTGACTGAGCCCCTCCTTCATGGGTGTTGGGGTGCCCATGGCCTGCAGCTTCTCGAACAAGCCTCTGCAGCTCTCCCTCTCCGCATGGCTCAGCAAGCTCAGATTCAAGGTGAAGCGCCCGGTGCTGGCCAGGCTGCGCAGGATCCCCAGCACGGCCACTCTGTCAGCTGGCTTCACATGATCTGCCAGTGCCACTAGCAGCTCCCCTAGAAGTCCAAAGCCTACATCTGTCTGGAAGAGATGGCCCAGCCTTGGACCTCCAAGCTGCAGCAGTGCCTGGTAGCGTTCTGGCCCACTCTGTAAGTGTCGCCGCCAATCCCGATAGAACTCTGCTGAGGTCTCCGGCTGGAGAGGTGTCTTCTAGATCAGAAAGGAAAAAAAGGGGTCCAGAGTTCTTCCAGCTGATCTGTGACAGTGAGAATGAGGGAAGCCTGGAAGCTTTCATTTTTAGCTCTGATACTGCCCTCTGAGTATGGGGAAGGCTATGGGCCTTGTGGACTTCATTTTCAGAAGGCGAATCTAGAGATGGGGAGGGAGGGCCCTAAGGCATTCAGCCATGATTGGAAATTCTCATCTGCACTTAAACTTTCCTACTGATGAGTAGCTCTGGACTTCAAGAGTAAGTCAGGATTTCCTGAGTAGAGTGGAGGGGTTGATGGCAATCTCAGGAAGACAGAAAGGAACTCAAAATGAGTGTCAAGAATCTGACAGCCTGGGTCTCTCTTCCAACACTGCCAAGGGATTGTTATACTATATATCATATAACCGAGAGGCAAAGCAACTCAAATCTGATCTGGGAATAAAAGTCAAAGGGCTGATTTAAGGAGAATGGATTAGCCTACCTTACTGACTCATTCTGCCACACTCAACTCAGCCTCACCATTGGCTCGTTGCTTTTTTTTTTTTTTTCTGGGATTGGAAGCAGAAATTGTCTCTATTGGTTTAGCATGGGAAATAAGGAGGAGGCATGTGTTATAAGAAGACAGGATTGCAACTTTAGGGCAGAGGATCCTGCTAAGCTGAAAAAGCTGGGCCTCACCTACCTGAGAGATTTCTGTGGCCACATCCTGGGAAGTCCTTCCCTGAGTCGTGTGACAGTTCCGGAACACAGTTCTCTTCCCTCCCATCTTATCCTTACGCTCCAGTGGCTTCAGATGTGATGCAAGGACAATACTTCTGTGGGCAAAGGAACGGTATTGGGGTATGGACTTAATGCTGTGCCTGTCAATGGGAGACAGTTGGAGTTTATGGGGTATCTATTGAACCCGTTGCTAAGCCAACATGACAATAAAACAGCTGACAACTTTCGAGCTTCGTATGTGCCAAGCACTGTGCTCAGGGTTTTACATGCAATAACTCACTTATAGTAAATATTATCTGTTTGTTTGTTCTTTTTTTTCCTTTCCATTTTTCACTGCCAGACTGGATGTGTACTTGCCAGATGGGAAGGGGAGACCACACTCAATGGGGCGTAGGCATGTTGCAATCCCTTCTCCTCCATTCTTCCATCCTGTTGGATTCTGGGCATGCACACACACTCAGTATCATTTTCAAACAGGCCAGAGTATGAAACTATGGTCAACCATGTGTGTGCTGGCTCCTTTAACCACCAGACCACAGACCTGGCCCATTAATCTCTTTTACAGATGAAGAATTGAGGCTGATTGAGGAATTTGCATAAGATCACAGAAGCAGCAGAGGGTGAAGCCAAGGCTAAAGCCCCAAATGCTCTGATGAGTGCTTGCCATTAGCCCCTATGGTCCACCCAAACAGGAAGGCCTTGAGAAAATGGCAGTGAGCCAACCTGAACTCCTCATAGGTAGCCACCCTCTGTTCCACCGCCCGAAATTTGGCAGCATTCTCCCGGCTGTACTTCTCATCAGCAATGAGCGCAGCCTGTAGTTCTTTCTCCAAAGCCTTGAAGTCGATGACGTTATTCCTTTCCATGGTCCATGCCTGGGAAGGCAAAGGGAATGCCCATCAGTGGAAGGTCAATATCGGGAAAGAGGGAGCCTCCAGATTCTTTCCCAGAACACAAAATGACCCCAAAGCACTCTGAATATCATGTCCATATCATGTCTGGATATCATAACTTTTCTTGGGGGGAAGAATTTACAAAAATCTAGTATTCTCCTCTACAGAGAGGAGTAAGCTGTACAGTGAAGACTTACACAAGACTTGTCACTGAAGACAGACTAGAGAGCTCTGCCTTTCTGTTTGGAGCCCTGTCTTAATTTTGTTCTCTGCCTCAAAAGACATATTTTTTATTTTGGTGCTTCAGAGCTGAGGAGGTATTTGGATAGCAGAACTCAGTTCTTTCACTCTTACACAAAGGATCACTTTATAGCGAGTTGAAGAAATAGACCTCATGCAAAAGAAGGCTTCTTGTGAGCTACTTTTGAGCTCAGGGATAAAATTTCATACTTCATTAAATGTATTTAATGAGGACGGATACTTTTCCCTCAAACCAGATGCAAAAAAGTCAGGCACAATGAGACTGGAAGCAAGGAAATAGTGTGGTGGTGACCTATGAAAGAACTCAATGATCTCCATCCTCAAATCCCTTTATCCAGCCCGAGGCTGGAGCGCAGGTGCCTAAGGCACTTGGGCTACATCTTTAGTGCTACCACTGTGCATCTGCAGCCTCTGCGCTAATTGAGCCTTTCTACCGGGAGATCATCTTACATGGGTTCTAGTCTTGGCTTTGTCGTGAGATCTCTGAACGTCAGACTACTCGGTAAATTTAGTTAGATCTGGTGAACTGTCCTAGGAGAGAAAAGCAGGAAGGCTGCAACCACCCCCACAGTTAGCCCAGTCCCCACGTGGGAAAACTGAACGCTAAAAGGGGGCTGGGCTGGCTCAGAACTGAACCCAGATGTCCAGGCTCCTGTCCAGTTCTGAGCCCTCCCCAAGTACTGAACTAATACAATAACCTCCCGCCTCCCCCTGACTCAGCCGCCAAGACCTTCATCCCAGCAGCTCCGAGATCTGACAGTGATCCCCTTTCTTTTTTGTGAATACCCTGATATATCCGAACCCGCGGGCAGCTCAGCGCAGACCACACCCAGCAGCCGTGGTTACCCAGCAACGGCTCCAACAGCCTTCCCACGTGATCTGCCTGAAGGCCCCCGTTTCAGGGTGGTCCTGAGGCGCCTGACCAGACTCGGACGTCCTCAGGCTTCATTCTTCTGGGAGCAGCCAAGGCCTTGGTCTGGGAACCCACAAGGCCACCCTGCCGGCTCCGTCTCCCCGGCCGGCATTCCGCAACGCGGTCCTCAGGCGGAGGGCTGTCCTCCGAGAAGGAACGCGACCCGGCGTCCGCGGGGCCTTCCTGGCGGCGGGGGCGGGCGCGGCGCCGGGGCGGGG